GGTATCGCCCAGTACTACTATTACTTAGTGTAAACTACAACTAGCATTCCTCAACAATTTGCAAGGGTGCCCATGTGTTATAACCGCTTAATATCAATGTAAGAAGGCACTTACACTGCTGCTGCAGAGCTCGAAGTAGGACTGCATCTCCTTCGCGGCAGACACGCCTGCACCAGTAGAAGCCATAGCAGCTGCAGCAGAACAATTTCGCCCGTAGTAAGCAAAGCGGCCCCGGAACCGACAAAAACTATCAAAATATGCAAAAACGATAGAAATGGAAACACCAACAAGACTAGGAAAAAGTGATAGCGCATGTTTTATTTAATCCATTAGTTTTGTGAGAACTAAGGTCCGAACAACATGATAACATGAATGAGTTCACAGTGCTTCGGATAATTCTCATAACAATCAAACTTCAACAGAAAACAATTTGTACATTCCGTAATTTCGAAAGGGTTTGTATGAAGAAGCAGTTTGCCGTTCAGAATTCGACCTTCTTAATCAAAAGGTAGATGTTGGAGTCCAGTTCAAACCCGTGAAGGTTGAACGCCTAAAACTGCAAATTTCAAAAGAGCGAACATTATTAAAGATGTCGAAGTTGTCCACACCTCTCCCTTCAACCTCATAAGGAGGCCACCAAAAGACGCATAGGCCGCAATTCTGCTACCATCAGATCCGCTATCGTCTCCTTCAATTCGGTAAACTCGTCCGAACATTACATACTCGAATTGCGCGACTCGTGAATAGTTGGCCTGTAAATGAAATTAGCGATGAGATGAAGTATAGTGTAGTTTGCTGCGGACGGTTGGGCGTGTCAAGCGGGATGAGTTTGGCGCGGTGCCAAACCCGTTCTCCACCAGTTGTTGAAGCGAGCAAGTGATATGACTGTATGTACCATATCGTTCGTATTACTCGTTTTCTACCACTTTTTGTCGCATGCGCGCTTCAACAAGAAGGCAGAGAACGGCTTTGACGGGGTGACACACTCATACTGCCTGACACGCCCAACCGTCCGCAACGAACTAGAGTATATGTACGTGGTCGTGCATATGTGTGAGGCGGAGAATCGGTATAATGTCCACTTATTGTGATGTAAACGCACATCTTACAACCAAATTAAAGCGTGCTGACAATGACTTAGAGACACCTCCAGAAATAGAATCCATACAGCATGTAAAATTGTTAGTTAGTCTTTCTAATTGAAGAATTTAGTTCGTTCAGTTTAGAAGTGAACTAGCTAGGCGACAACTGTCATAAAGTCAAAATGCCCGGAGTAGTTGTTGATCAGCTGTTAAGTTCCATGCATTGACCGTAACAAATGGTTTCGATGTAATACTCGGTTTCGGTGAGCTGTTTTGCGTGAGATCTTTATCTGCACGGAAGTAATTTTGTGTGTAATATGGTGCTGTCCCGGAGCCTCATTGTAATCTGAACATGAAACACGTGAAAGAGGCGCCAAAAAATTTATTGCAAAAAACTCAAAAGACTCAAAAGAATCCAAAAGTTCTTGCAAAAAATTTTTGTTGTTTCTGAATAACTTCCTTCGAATGGTTTCGGTCCGGTGAGCACCCCTTCTTAGCGGATGCGTGAAAGTGCCCCTCATAGTCTAGGAATACCTCTGCACCGCGAATGCCCGTCTTTGTCTTCAGTGGTGCCGCCTGAATTCTGACCTGGTCTTCCTGCCTCCGATATGCCTTCCGCGCCGCGTCCCGTGCATAAAGTGCCCGACTTCTTGAGGTGTTGCTTGGCGACCTGACGCGTGCAGTCCTCCCCTTAAACTAGTGGGGATGGAGTGTGCTTGAGCGTCTCTGCATATGATATCACTGACCGCTCAACCATTATCATTACCGTAGTCAGTGAATCAACTGCAGCGCATCACGTAGCTCATCCCTACTATTCATTTCCGGAGAGCCTTTTTTATTTCCAGTGCTTCTAATAGTTTTCTTTCCACTGTATTTTCTATGGAACGGTGTAATACTGTAATGGTGATTGCCGGAGGACCTTCGTGTATATGCATGGTGGTGCGGTGCTTCGAGAGACTGTTATCCGGGTATGAAGCTGGATTGTTTAGGGCCCTGTGGAGCGGTTTCATGCTAATCGTTTTGAGATGTGCTTTTGTCTCTCCGGCCGATATATTTTTGCCCCGCGGCATCCCTGGTCATTTCTATTAAAGTAAAGACACCGCCGTCCCTCGGAGGTGTCAGGATATTTTTCTAGTGCGGATTACAGTAAGTGCAGTTCCCTCGTCCGCATTTTTCTTCATAAGGCCTGGAGTACGTTAGTAGTCTTTTTAGATTTGGCGGTGGACGAAATATGAGCTGTATGGGGAGTGGTGAGCTTTTGACTATACTGTTAACTTTCAGTGCCGTACTCTCATTTAGATATGGCATTACCAAAGGAATGCCATCTGGTGTCGAGTACGGTCTCCATGTATGAATACGTGTATTGACGTATCCATTCTCCCCAAGAATTCGGTCCACCGTCGTATCTATTCGTTGCGACCGCTGCGTACATGTTCTTTCTTTTGTCTTGATTAAATTGCGAACTACGTTCGCTTTCATATATCTAGCGTACGCTAGCGGCACGCTAGCGTACGCCAGCGTTTCTCCAGCGTTTCACCAGCGTTTTGCTAGCGTTTGCAGCGGCAGGGGAGTAGAGACTATGGGAGAGCTGGAGGGTACAAAACACATCGATTGCGCGTATCTCACTCGCCCTTAGTCTCTACAATGCACATCGCTTCTGCGTCTTCGACGGGCACATAGTCTCTACAATGCACATCGCTTCTGCGTCTTCGACGGGCACATAGTCTCTACAATGCACATCGCTTCTGCGTCTTCGACGGGCACATAGTCTCTACAATGCACATCGCTTCTGCGTCTCCGACGGGCACATAGTCTCTACTCCCTGCCGCTGCAAGCGCTAGCAAAACGCTGGTGAAACGCTGGAGAAACGCTAGCGTACGCTAGCGTGCCGCTAGCGTACGCCAGCGTGCCGCTGGTGACGCTGGTGAAGCTAGATCGATATGCATCCTCTCTTCGGCACTGCCGCTGGCGTACGCTGGAAGCGCTACGCTACGCTGCGCTACGCTACGCTACGCTACGCTACGCTGCCGCGCAAAGTATACCAAACGCCAGCCTTAGTAGTCTTTTTGATTTGGCCGGTGGACGAAAATATGAGGCGTTGTATGGGGGTGGTGAGCTTTTGAACAAATACTGTTAACTTTAAGTGCGTACTCCTCATTTTAGATATGGCATGGTACCAAGGAATGCCATTGCTGTGCTCCGGAGTACGGTTCTCCCATGTTGAATACGTGTATTGACGTATCCATTCTCCCCAAGAATTCGGCCCACCGTCGTATCTATTCGTTGCGACCGCTGCGTACATGTTCTTTCTTTTGTCTTGATTAAATTGCGAACTACGTTCGCTTTCATATATGAGGGGTGGCAACTTCTGGCGTGCAGTAATATATTCTTCGACGCCGGTTTCTTATACCAGTACAGCTGTTTGACACCGTTTTCAATCTTGACCCTGGTGTTTAGAAATGGGACAAATCCGTCCTCATCTGGGTTCTCCACAGTAAACTTGATGTCTGGATCCTGTGAGTTGAGGTTTAGAAGCGTATCTTCCAACTCCCCCGATGAGGAACCAATAACGAAAACGTCATCGATGTACCTTTTGTAAAATAATATCCCTGATGTTAGCGACCGGCGTTCTATGCGGTCCAGAAAAAGGATGGCTAGTAAGGGCGCGATTCGTAACCCCATGGCTAGCCCCCGATGTTGCTTGTAGAACCTTCCGTCGAACTGAAATATATTACAATCCAAAGTTGCCTTGAACAATTTCCGCAGGTCTTCTTCTTCCAGGCCAAAAAACGAAGATTTCCCTTCTATGCTGGCTCCATAAGTCTATTAGAGCATCAATTGCGTCCCAGGTGTTGACGTTCGTATACAAGGATACTGCATCAAAACTAGCATAGCTAGCGGTTGCTGGGATATGGCATTGTTCCAACGAGCTGCATGCAAGTTCCCTGCTATTGACCAAATGCGACATGATACGTGGCTTGAGAAGAGGGGAGAATTTAATTTGACCGAAGGAGCCTTAAGTTACAGTATTTGTCAAAAGCTCCCATCCCCATACAGCTCATATTTCGTCCACCGCCAAATCTAAAAAGACTACTAACGTACTCCAGGCCTTATGAAGAAAAATGCGGACGAGGGAACTGCACTTACTGTAATGATAGAAAAATATGCCAACTCCGAGGAACGGTGTATTTGATAGAATGCCAGGGATGCGGGCAAAAATATATCGGAGAGACAAAAAGGCCACTCTTCAAACGATTAGATGAACACCGCAGGGCCCTAAACAATCCAGCTTCATACCCGGATAACAGTCTCTCGAAGCACCGTGTGCCGCGCACCACCATGCATTACACTGAAGGGTCCCTCCGGCAATCACCATTAGCGTATTACAAACCTGTTCCATGAAGGAAAGATACAGTGGAAAGAAAACTGATTGAAGCTTATTCGGAGCGGACTGATTGAAATAGAAAAGGCTCTCTCCGAAACTGAATTAGTAGGCGATTGAGCTACGTTGATGCGACTGCCAAGTTTGATTCAGCTGACTACGGTAATGATACATGGTTGAGCGTCCTGATTATCATAATGCCAGAGACGCGGCTCACTCTCAGTCATCCTCACTATTTAAGGGAGGATGACGGGTAGGGTCGCAGTCAACACTAGAAGTCGCACTTTTGCAAGGAGCGGCGGAGGCTATATTGGAGGCAGAAGACCAGGTCAGAGTCCAGTTCGGGCACCACTGAAGACAAGATCCGGGATTCGGGTTGCAGAGGACTAACTATAGTATTTCAGATCGCTGAGGAAGGTGCTAGGCACCGAAATATTCGAAGGAAGTATTAGAAACAAAAATTTTTGCAAGAACTTTTGGATTCTTTTGAGTCTTTTGAGTTTTTTGCAATAAATTTTTTGGCGCCTCTTTCACGTGTTTCTCAAACTGTTTCAGATTACAATGAGCTGCCGGGACAGCACATATTACGCAAAATCTTGAAAAACTGCAGCAGCAACATCAAAATTGGCTTAGGTATAACTTTCGCTGTCATTCCTGAAATTACATAGCAAACCATCAAGCCATCAGTATCGTTGACCTGAATCCCATAAGGTTCCTATTGAGATGTACAAAGCATTCCTCAAAACTTGTACCTAGATTTAATAGAAGAGTCTATTTGTCGGGAATCGCCTTTACTCACAAACAATGATCGACGAGTCAGAGCTAAACATCCGTAGGCGCAAAATAAACTTCACCTGTTAGAGCAAGCAAGCTTTGCTGACAGGCGACGCCGCCCGCAAAAAAAGGGAAACCCGATTGTATTCAGGAAATAGTTTCCTCTCGTAACTTACTAACGTCGCAAATCAGTCGAGAACTGTGGGAAAATATTTCGGTCAGAAACCAAATAGTATGCGCCAATCTACGCCGTACTGCCCGCGCAACGCGCCTAAACAACTAAGTATGAACACTTAAAAAACAACACCCACCGACACATCGGGAAGAGTCCTTCATACAATGGGATGCAGTACCACCGAAGCGGTGCACTATCCTAGGAACAGATCAGATAGACGATGATATGGAGGCCGCACTAAATCTGGGACCATCATTCCGCTAAGTAGCAGATCACTGTCGGCGAAGAAACCATGGACAAAGTGTGCATCGGGTTCAACAAATTTGCATACCAACTTAGGTGGCGGGAAAATAGGGGCCCTACGGTAATGGACAGGGAAGCGACTATATTTGCAGCTGCACCGTTTCCCAAAAATGCTTTTGTTGCTCCAAAACCAATTCCCGCTCTTGAGCCTCTGTTGTCTTCCCTACATTTAAAACTAAGGGAAGCCTATGCCAGTGCTGGACAGACCAGGTTCGGGTCTAACATGACAGAAAAGGAACGGAGAGGATTTCAAAAGCTCATGGCTAAGAAAAGAGTGCTACGTTATAGCATAGGAGATAAGAGTGGGGACTTCGTTGTAATGACCCAAGACATGGATAAAGCAGTGTCGCGTCGCAGCCTAGAGGACCGCAACACCTACACGGACTCATCCTTACAATCATTCATGACTGCTGTTAAACAACTCGAAATGACCATCAAAACGGTGTTGGGTAAAAGGTTGGATAAAGAAACAGTCAAACGATTCATCCTGTCTTCCCCAAGTGTTCCTACTTATTATTCTTTAGTCAAAACGCATAAATTTACGACAGCTACTTTGGATCATCTCACCGTGCAAGACGTAAAGACCCGACCCATAATTTCCTCTTGTGGTGGACCATCGGACAGAATCAGCTGGCTCCTTGTCAAATTATTCTCCCCTCTTCTAAGCCACGTATCATCGCATTTGGTCAATACAGGGGACTTCATGGCTTCGTTGGAACAATGCCATATCCCAGCAACCGCTAGCTATGCTAGTTTTGATGCAGTATCCTTGTATACGAACGTCAACACCTGGGACGCAATTGATGCTCTAATAGACTTATGGAGCCAGCATAGAAGGGAAATCTTCGTTTTTGGCCTGGAAGAAGAAGACCTGCGGAAATTGTTCAAGGCAACTTTGGATTGTAATATATTTCAGTTCGACGGAAGGTTCTACAAGCAACATCGGGGGCTAGCCATGGGGTTACGAATCGCGCCCTTACTAGCCATCCTTTTTCTGGACCGCATAGAACGCCGGTCGCTAACATCAGGGATATTATTTTACAAAAGGTACATCGATGACGTTTTTCGTTATTGGTTCACGCCCCCCCCCCGCCCCGCCCCCCCCCGCCGCCCCCGCCCCCCCCCCCCCCCCCCTGCATGCGGGAGTGGAAGATACGCTTTCTAAACCTCAACGTCTCACAGGAATCCAGACATCAAGTTTACTGTGGAGAACCCAGATGAGGACGGATTTGTCCCATTTCTAAACACCAGGGTCAAGATTGAAAACGGTGTCAAACAGCTGTACTGGTATAAGAAACCGGCGTCGAAGAATATATTACTGCACGCCAGAAGTTGCCACCCCTCATATATGAAAGCGAACGTAGTTCGCAATTTAATCAAGACAAAAGAAAGAACATGTACGCAGCGGTCGCAACGAATAGATACGACGGTGGACCGAATTCTTGGGGAGAATGGATACGTCAATACACGTATTTCGATAGACATGGAGGACCGCTACTCTGACACCAGATGGCATTCCTTTGGTAATGCCATATCTAAATGAGAGTACGGCACTGAAAGTTAACAGTATAGTCAAAAGCTCACCACTCCCCATACAGCTCATATTTCGTCCACCGCCAAATCTAAAAAGACTACTAACGTACTCCAGGCCTTATGAAGAAAAATGCGGACGAGGGAACTGCACTTACTGTAATGATAGAAAAATATGCCAACTCCGAGGAACGGTGTATTTGATAGAATGCCAGGGATGCGGGCAAAAATATATCGGAGAGACAAAAAGGCCACTCTTCAAACGATTAGATGAACACCGCAGGGCCCTAAACAATCCAGCTTCATACCCGGATAACAGTCTCTCGAAGCACCGCACCACCATGCATATACACGAAGGTCCTCCGGCAATCACCATTACAGTATTACACCGTTCCATAGAAAATACAGTGGAAAGAAAACTATTAGAAGCACTGGAAATAAAAAGGCTCTCTCCGGAAATGAATAGTAGGGATGAGCTACGTGATGCGCTGCAGTTGATTCACTGACTACGGTAATGATAATGGTTGAGCGGTCAGTGATATCATATGCAGAGACGCTCACCAGTCATCCTCACTATTTAAGGGAGGATGACGGGTAGGGTCGCAGTCAACACTAGAAGTCGCACTTTTGCAAGGAGCGGCGGAGGCTATATTGGAGGCAGAAGACCAGGTCAGAGTCCAGTTCGGGCACCACTGAAGACAAGATCCGGGATTCGGGTTGCAGAGGACTAACTATAGTATTTCAGATCGCTGAGGAAGGTGCTAGGCACCGAAATATTCGAAGGAAGTATTAGAAACAAAAATTTTTGCAAGAACTTTTGGATTCTTTTGAGTCTTTTGAGTTTTTTGCAATAAATTTTTTGGCGCCTCTTTCACGTGTTTCATGTTCATACTGTTGTATTAATCATATTTAACACACCATACTGAAACGCCGCGTGAATTGTTAAGGCAATAACCAGCACGGCAGCAGCGAAGTATCACTTCGCGTTTGTGTATTGCCCACAACTCACATTTTGGTGGGTCGGTATTTTCGATGAATGAATAGTCGTGACTTGAACCACACGATCCATTCTCACCGCGTGATATTTGTTCAGTGGAGCAATAGGGCTTTGTTCTTGAGTGCGCGTGCAAGATATAGCTGCCTCATTGACGCTAAAAGGTTCATTAATATTTACAAATAACAGTCTTGTAATTTGAGTGTTATTTTAACTCTAGTGGATAAGCTTTCCCGCTTCAACTTACAATGGTAGTAAGAACTACTAGTGATAATTAATGGTAATGTTGCATATATATGCTCATAGTTTTAATTCAGTTATGATAACGAACTCCTTAATGTTCAAAACTGCGTTTAGATCTTCTCTTTGTCCAGACTAATCTATGCAGCTAAAAGAAGTCATCATTCAAATTGAACAATGTAGAAATGAGCGCAAAAGTAACCAGAATGAGCGTGTAAAGGGGCATGCGGCACAAAGACTCCCGTTTCGCGCGTTTGTGTATTGCACGCAATTCTTCAATGTGTTAAGAACCATTTAGAATATGAGAAGACGGAAAACACACTAAAAGACTAGCAGGTTCAATATTCAGAAAGTCCTTGTAAGCGTAACGTGTCCGTTTCTGCGACCCCGCGAATAAAAGAGATCCAAGAAAACAGGGTGACTCAAGTTTTCAGTTAAGTTTTCAATATTCACTATAATTGGATCGGTTTTCTGCTATGTCCTCCATTCACTGAGTTTACCGGACATGAGCATCACTAGGGCATCATCACAGAGATCAGTATTAACATAGGGATCACTTAAAGACCTCACACACTACGCACTTACCGCACCAATATATGGCAGTACTCACAGCTTTGTCCCCACTGCTGAGAAACGCCAACTCGTGTACTGGTTTTATTTGATACATTCCTCTCACCACATAGTTGTTTTTATGAAGCCCAACTTTTTTAGCCTCATTCTTCAGTTCTTACACTAAATCGCTCGAGGAAGCTTTGTGAAAAACACTCCAGGAAGCACTTTGTGAAAAACGTGTGACGCTTCTTTGGAAGAGCGTCATAAAAAATGAAATGGGATATCCTGCGATAAATTACCCCTGAATTCTTATAAGAATTTTCTTTGAAGAATAATAAGATGAGGATATAAACTTTATATTCACACAGTCCTAACCATTAATGCCCAACTCCGATCAGCACCGAAGGCAGAGTCACAGATTCAGATACCGAAATGAAATGGGTCGATTTCGACCAAGATTTGTTGGACATTCTCAGAACCTTCTACCCCGTCTCAGGATACTTGTCCAAGCCTCCATTCTTCTTCCTTTCTACTTCCTTCATTTCCTTCCTTCCTTCTCTCTTTCCTCCTCCTTTGAGTTCTCCCTTCAAATTGGGCCAGTAGATGCCACGAGAAAATACCTCTGGGCACTCGCAGCGAGAGCATGCCGGTTGACAAGAGCCCTGTAACCCCCTCCTACCCAGCTCTTTTCCTAGTTCATGGTGTCCCAAAGGATGAACGCCGCATTAGAGGCCATGGGTGTGGATGATTGATCTCCTCGTATTATAGCTGTACGAAATGGTTTCTGAATGGATGGTAACTTTTACGCGCTAACATCACATTACCGTGAACTGTTCCTTTTGAAACTTCGGGAGAAAACCGTCAAAGCACAGTTTTCTACCTTCTCGCTAGATACGGAGAACTTATGCAAGCTAACTTGCACAAGGCCTTCAAGCGGTGCTGAGCAGATGTGTCAATTTGAACCGCTGAAGTGTTACCCCAAACTTTATGTTATGCGGCTTATATTTTTCCCTACATCTCCAATATAAAAGCATGGAACGCCATAGTTTCTCACTGTTTATGAGTACATGGTGGATGAACAAAATTGAAAACAATACCTATAACAAAAGAAAAACTAACCAAGGGATCGTATTCGCCTTCATCAGGCATTCCATCATCGCGAACTGAAGTGGTAATCATCAAGCGGAACTTGTCGTTCAGATTGACTGGATAAATTTGGGTGTTGACGTCCAGTATCAGTTCCATACTAAATAAGCATGTCATACGAACAAAATGTATATTTGAGCGATATATCAAACCACCCCGAAATGTGGAGTAGTTTTTGAGGAGGATCTGGATTTGATGGAAATATTACTTCGCCACATGTAAGGGTTTTTCGGTGCCTTGACGACGGGTATATCACGTTGTTCAGCGTAACTGAGACCTCAACTGGTGACGCTTACCAACAGCTACAGCTTAGGGTCAGGTCAACCCTACCGTCAGATTCCGCTGATACCAAAAATAAGCGTCAGCGTTGCCAATACTCGTTATCTATCAGTTACCCTCATCTGTGTTCTTTAAGAAATTTTGTGCCAAATGGAAGGTCTAAGGCTGTAACAAATGTTTTATTTCGCGCTGCACCTTTAGACGAAGTTCCAGTGAAATTATAGATTTATTTGATTGGAATAATCTAAACGTGTCGAACGTAGAGAAAAAAGAAGACTGAGGCCAGATTCGATTTATGGCTACCTGAGCCAACCAAGCAGACTCAACTAAACCCCAGAAGCTGAGCGACGAGGCTTTTTCCAGCGCCCTGCCGTTCTCTAAACGATTTCAAGCTTCACCCAAATGATATATTGAGATGAAGGGTCTAGTCTACTCCCCGGATGAGCGAATGCTCATCTTATTACCTTATCTCCCGAACTAATTTGGTTGAAGCTCACTACTGCGAGCAGGTAGGATATCCGCTGATGAATCAAGTTTTACATATCCATTTCTCAGTAGATTTTATCAATCGTCATTGCCAAACATCACCAAGCATCTACTTGTGTAAGGCATAGCGATAGCTCCATAGTGGTAAGGAGCGTAAAGAAGATACTAACCCTTGACAGCTTTTATCGATCACTATATCATTACCTAATTACCACACTTCACACGTTTGAAGCAACTCCCCACTTTTACTATGTTCACACAATAGATTTCCTGAGAATTCTATTCTCATACCCACTATCAGTTCTTATCTGTTGTTATCACATTCGGGCACTCACCAATAATGTTCCCGTCCTGCCCCCCCATCCCATATCTTGGAACCAACGTCCCACTGCTACTGTGACCAGCGCTATGATTATTGTGACTCTTCCTTTACGACGCCCCTTATCAGCTCTTATCATTCGTTATCACTCTGTGTCCCCCTGTCATACTCCCCACCATATCACCTTTATCACCTACCCATTTGAACGCTCGGCTGTTTACTCGTAAGAAGTTATGAGTTTGCGGTAAAACACCACAACCAAAAAACTTAGCTGATTATATACAGCAGGATGTCCCAAAGTGGCACTCGTAGTGCACAAAAAATTTGAATTGTGAGCGTCTTTGCATCTGAGGCAACGAATAACCTTATGGACATCTTCACTGGCGCCTCGTTGGAAGAGTCCTACTCCGTTAAAAACTTGCCTGTGGTTTTTTCTAACTGGAATACAGCAGCCAGGGTCAAGCGAATACTTACCTGAACGATTCGGAATCGCAGAAGAGCCGTGAGCATCTGTCAAACTTCTTGCCATCAGGGTCGATGTTTTTAACCATAAACATGTCATCAAATATGACGTCAGACATGGCTCAACTAAGGAAACCTGAACCAGTACGGTGATCCAAGCAAATTTCGTCAAATTTCAAATTTAGGCGTGGAACTAAACGCAGTTGGTGCAGCTCGAACCGATGCTTTACACCGCACGCGTTTCCCACACCACAGCCCCTGTTGAGAGCGAAATTTGATGTTACCGTAGAAACTCGGTGGTTTGGGGCTACGTGTACGGAGCAGGCGCATGTTCCTAGGAAAGCTCTGTCTTTGTGAAGGGTTCCTTTTCGTAAAATGCTTCCCTAAACAGAGGAGTTCGTTTTTCATTCAAATCGCCTCTGATTAAGCATCCTGGAATTTCCATGAAATTTCTTTTTCTTTTCGAAATCTTTCGACATCGCCCGTAGCTGTCTGTGTCATGACAGTTGTCTTTCTGATTCACTATGTGCGAAGTATCAGTCACGAACCAGGACGCTAGAGAGCTTGCGCTGTGAGGTGGTCAGTCCAAGAATGTGCGTCCGCTTCATAGTTTGTCTCTTCGTTTTTCATCTTCCTCTCAGCCCACTTCTTTTTGGTGCATTATGTCGTACTGCCTTTTTCTTTCTTCTCTCTCTCCTTTCTGAAAATTTCAATGAAATCGGTAGCTTTTCAATTTTTCGACAACAAACAAGTTGCGAAAGTTGACATGTTTGGTCTGTGAGGAGGGCCTGAATTTTCTCGCCTCCATCCCTTCCTAATCCACCCATGCCAAACAAAGTCGACAGTTACCATAGGTGTCTATCGTATAAAAAGCAACAACTATTGAAAGCCTCCTCTCATCCACGATTTCATGGATTGGTGGTGGCACTGTCGTTGGGGCGAACCGATTGTGTCCGGTTTCGTTGGAACGATATCAAATCCTTGTGTGCTGAAGCAGGTGAGTGGACTTTACGTGCGCTACTCTAACCGTTTGGGGTTCTCGGTGGTGGGTTCCCATAGTGGGCGTGGCTACCGCTAGAACAGTGTTTGGGATGTGGCCAAAAACCCTAAAATTTGGATGAATTCTGAAGGAGGAAGTAGGCAAAGTTCCCATAGTATGGGAGCCTCGTGACGTGGTGGCGGGGCTAGGGAAGAAAAGCAAAATGTCGAAATCTTGTCGAGAAAAGAAACTTTAAAAGATCCGACCAGTGAGTGGATAGCGTTTGTATGTGTTAAGTGAAATATATGTAAGCGGAAGTTTATGCCAATAATTTTTCGGCATACTTCTAAGCAGCAAAATTCTGCGCAACAACGTAGAAAAAAATGTGTAAAAAGGGGGCGTGTTTGAGAGGTGGAGCGCAGTATGGCACTATTGCACTCTAAATGCACATTAAAAGTGTGAAAAGATCACTGAAAAAGGATGTCACTGAATAAGGTTGTGAAACGGCCATTTTTTTAATAAATTCGCTCATGAGTGAGCGGAGTCGTCGAGGGCGGGGTCCACCGACTCATATAAAGGTCTATTCAACATGTATATTAACGTGATATAAGTGAAAACACTTGAAAACCGGTGTAAATAGACATTGTAGAATACAATATTTATGAAATACTAAAGTGTATATCATGTTTCGGCGGCAAAAGGTGGGTTTTGCTGTCTGGGGGCATCATAGTGAGGTGTAGCTTATGAGAGGGTGAAAGGGGCGCTCCGCGCAAGAATGGAAGAATATCACGAAAAATTGAGGGTTTGGTGTAACTCAACTGCCCCGACAACTCAAATTTTTTCTGAATCTAACTATAGTGGTTATTAAGCGGCCTGGTCACGAATATGACATTCGTTTCAAGCGCAGGTGCCATGATAGTCTAAACGCAAGCTGATATGAGCACAAATTGATATAAACTTGCATACTGAACTTATCTGGCATTCATTAAGAGCAACATTGATTTTTGGACGCGGCGTCTAAATTGACATCACACCACTGCTTTCAATAAATGTCCGTATAGAATTGCATGCTGACTGCGTCACAATGAAAGAACCAAGGTCAGGTCGCCTGTCGACGCCGACCCCTAAATGGTTGGTTGGTACGACTCCGCCCCCCCCTAATTCCGTATTCTTTGAGCTGTCGAGCAGGGGGGTATGTAGCACAAGCATATGTGAAACGGGAAAAAGCGCAAGGAAAAGGCGACCTCCCTTCCCCTCCTACCTGCCACTTTCTTAGATTTTCCCAACTTCGTTCCAGTTTTTCCGGAATTTCCCGGAAATCTTCCTAAGTTTTCCTAGAAATTTTGGTGTCTAGAGCGGGGGCGGGGATCCCACGAAAAACCAACAACCTCTCTCAAAAAGCCAGACGGCGAGTACGACCTCCCCCTCCCAGCAACGAGCAAATACGACCCTCCCCCTTTATAGCGTCCCTGAACAAGAGAAGTCAACCATAGGAAAAATTTTTCTCAAACATAGTACGACCCCCCCCTTCTCACCAGCGACCAAATACGACCCCCCGTGCTGGGTAGTTCCCAACAACGATGTGCCCGTCCTGGCTTCGCCGGGCGGCTAGGCTTCGCTAGGCAAGGTTGCGTAGTAGTACAATAATTATTACTTTGATCCCCAATTCCGTTTATGTGATGGCGGTAAAGAGCATTGAGCAAATGCGCAGTTGAGATGTGTGCCAGGCATTAACCAATTATCCCAACGCAATGAAGGAAACGATTTGCCACGAAGCGCCGGCGTCGTGAGCCGACTGGTATCATATGTTTATGTGGCAATCAATGATGATTGATAGGAAGCTATGATGAGGGCCAACAAAATAAA